TTGTTCAGTGGCTGAACAGTACACCTCATCCCGAAGGATCACGGCTAGCCTCGTGTCTCGCCTGCTGGAGCAGGAGTCGTCTCTTGGCGACTCTCTGACTCAGCTCCGGACGGTCAAGGCGACGGTTCGGGCCGAGAAGCGGAGCGCGTTCAAGTCTATGGCTGACGCCCTTGGCTTGGATCACCGGGAGCTGGCCCCTGTTCTCGACCTGGCCTCAGAAAAGGGTGCATCCAGCTGGCTGACCTGCCGCCCCCTCAGCCGCCATGGTTTCACACTCAGCAAGGGAGATTTCCGGGATGGCCTGTGCCTCCGGTACGGCTGGACACCTCCTCGGCTCCCAAGCCTCTGCGTGTGCAGTAAGCCGCTGAATGTGAGTCACGCCCTGTCGTGTCCGTTTGGTGGCTTCCCGACGCTGCGACATAACGAGGTGAGGGACATCACCGCCAGAGCTCTAAGGCAGGTCGCTCACAACGTGAGTGGAACCCCACCTCCAGCCCGTCACCGGCACCGGAGAGGCCTTCCGCCATCGCACAGCTGTCACGGAGGAGCAAGCTCGGCTGGACGTTGCGGCTAGTGGTGTGTGGGGTGGCCGATTCGAGCGCATCTTTATTGATGTACGGGTGTTCAACCCTTTTTGCGTCTTCGAATCGTGCTACCTCCCTCGCTGCTAGCTACAGACGCCATGAACAGGAAAAGCGCCGGAAGTACGAAGAGCGAGTACGTGAAGTTGAGCATGCCTCCTTCGTGCCCGTTGTGCTTTCTGCCTCTGGTGGCTATGGCAAGCATGCCAGTGCTCTTTTCACGCGGATCGCTTCTCTCCTGGCTGAGAAGAGTAAGGAGCCATACGGGCAGATTATCTCCTTGCTGCGCAGCCGCCTTGGGTTTGCCCTGGTGCGTTGTGGTGCTATGTGCCTGCGTGGCTCAAGGAGCATGTTTGCTCCTGCCGTGCCTGAGTCCCCTGCTGTGCTAGTGGCGGCGGAGGCGCGCATCCAGTGACCCTTCAGTGATCCTACTGAGTGACAGACTCTGTATAATACTGTATCTGATGATTCGTTTTAGGCCAAAACAAAAAATAGGCTTGTTTCTGGTCGGCAACCCCTCAAAAAGGAGACTCGGTCGGCCGGAATGAAACTTTTTTTGGATACTTTTTTTGGTTCCTCAATCGTTGTGGTATTGATGGACAAGAGCACCTACACATGTACATATACATTGTACATTATATCATGGCAAGGATCAATGTCAAAGTTAGTTGACTGACTCACTGTTCTTGTACAGCATGTGGTGTATTCCTGTTTTCGTACACCCTGAGAAATCAAGCAAACAGTTCGAGTCCTCCAGCTCCGTTATTCTGGCTCGTATCGACCCCGAAGGTTTTCGAGCCGACAGCTGAGAAGCTCTGCTACCTTGTAGGTGTTTCGATTGTGGAATTCGGTTGAGATTTGACTGAGTTATGACTCGTTGAATGCACTTGCACACATGGCATTGTCACCGTTTGCATACATTTGGGACCAAAAAAAGTTTCAGAATTTGGGAAAAAGTGGCCCGGTCGGGCGACCGGAAACAAGGTCATTATTTGTTTTGGCCTTATGTAATTGTGTTGATTCTTCACAAAATGTGTTATTTTGCCCGTACAAGAGGCTCAAGGCTTGTAGTTTCCGAGACGGACAGTATGCATGCATGGTAGTTGGTACAAATGTTGTACAATGTTGTTTTAGAATTTTGTTGGGTTTCCGGTACTACTACTACTGTACTATTGTTACTGCTGTACTAGCACAGTACAGTACGACGTCCTCGAAGAAATGTTTCTTGGCGAACAGCAACAGCAACCTTCTTCTTCGTTTTTTATTTTAATTTTTTTACTCGATTTTCTTTCATCGACACCATAGCTAGCCCTTGGCTGGATAATCCTCAAATAGAATGAAGACCATCACCAGGAGCTCCTTCGATCGCGGAACATGCCTATCTTGTATGTAAGTGTACGCTACGGTGTTGTTTATGTCGTTAATTTTTGCTCGGTTCATAGTTCATGGTGAGTGTATTTGACCTTTGGTATACTCGTGGCGGGGTAATTCCGTAAATACTTTGCAGATGTTGGCTTGTTCGCGCGCGCGCGCACGGTCTGGAAAATATCCTTGAAAATTAATTACGAGGTGATTTGTAATAATTTTACATGAAAGTAAAAAAGGCTATCATTCCGTTGCCCTGGCGAGTTTTGAAGTGTACATGGTCTCATTCTGTCACTATGTATGTCCTTTATCCACGAATGGACTTCTTGATTGATGGAACACCACAAACATGAGAGACACAGTGTGGGGTTGCTTTGCATGCATTCTTTCACCAAGAAAAAGTGTGTACAAAATTTTACAAGTCAGTAAAATAGGGTCTAACATAAACAAATATGACCTAAATATGTCAATAAGCTTGCAATGGGAAATCAAGATACATCTGAAGCAAGTTACATGCAGAGAAAGCAGACTGGTTTTGCAGGTTGCCCAACGTATTGGTTTCTGTACGTCGTCAACTGCGGTTCAAAATGATAGGGTATCTTTGACCGCCTGCCGGCATTGTAGAGCATGAGCACGCAGACCTTATCTTGCAGCTCCATTTGTTTCAGCTTGCAGTGCATCCTCATGCGTGAAATAACCACACAAAGCAAAGATACCATCCATGATGCGCGCCAGCCGTCCCATGACAGGGTGCCTTCGTGCATCTGGGCCACAGTGCAATTAACCGGCACATACTGACAATGTCGGGGCTTCCATACTCTATAAGACAAGTGCAGTGACTCCTTCACCTGATTCATATACTTCTGTGTTGGAAGAAGACTGCAGACCACCCTCAATGGGTGCTCCACCGTCAACAGCCAACATACATTCATGCCGCATTTCCTGCATTTGCACTTTGCCATCGTGAATCTCTACCACAGTACCAGCACTTCTGAGGTAGCAAGCTGAGTTTCATACGTAGGTCTACTGAACAGCTAATTATTTACCTGTATGCCATAAGCATCAGCAGCTTCGGACTTAGATTTGAATCACCTTTCATGATAGGTGAACGACACCTTTTGTCAAAATTGCAGTTTCTGACCTTCACCTTTTTGGCTAATCTCTTCTTCAGCTCTGCTACTTTGACGGTGTGACAGACTCAATACTCAGGGCATCGGTGACCAGCCTAGGGTTTCCACCTGCCATAGAACATGCTCGCTGGCTCTTGGACGTCCTTCAAGCATCCATTGAGGGATATTTTACCTCATTGACTACAAATTCACGAATTTCGATCCATGATTGATATCTCTCAAGGCCGTGGAAGAAAACAATTCCGCTAAACGCTGCTGATGCTTACAAACTACAATACAATGGGAACTGACTTGTCTGTCGAACTAATAAAAACCGACTTCATGGGAAGAATGGAATCGCCCTCAACAATGACCGCACTATTGTTTTTAAGATTAACATCATTATTACTTCTGCGAATGGATTCGTTCCACAGGACCCAGGTAAGGAGCATCATCGACATGCGGTACCCTAAACGAATTAGCAATGACACTCTGTATAAGCGCTGCGGAGCTGTCCCCATCAGCGAGATGATCACAAGGCAGCGCTACAGTCTCGCTGGCCATATCTTTCGTTTGGCCCCAACTGCTCCTCCACAGTTGGCAGTGGATATGTATCTTCGCCTGGCCAACGACGAGGGCACTGAACGCTTTAGGGGTCGACCTCGGACGACTTTGGTAACGGTCTTGCAGACGGAACTGTTATCATGGCATGGACTTACCCTCCACCAGCCGCTAGATGTTGACGCAGTCCGCACAATGGCAGCGGATCGACAGGCATGGCGTGGAGCCCGCCCCACCTAACAGGACTGACCAGACATGTTGACTGTTGTATGCATATTCTATTTTATTTTATACTTTGGATGAAGTTTTCCATTAGTCATATTGGTGTTGTTGCTAACGGCTTTTGTTGACGTCACTTCTGTCATTTCATTGTATCGTATTACCAAGAGTCCATAAACAGTGTTTATGCACTCTTGGCTTTTAGCACTACGCAAAAAATTGCAAACCATGCACTCTTGACATCGTAAAAAAGAAGCCCTTAGACTGGAGCTCCCCCCCCCCCCCCAAACTAAAGTGTTACTTCAAAAACACGGCCCCACTAACCCCTGGGAAGTGAAACGGGAGAACATGAAAAGTACAATAGAAAACAATGGGAAGGTGGGTGGTGCTACAGGGTTGCTGTGTTGGTGAGTCTGGAGCCACTCCAAGGTTGTTGTTGTTGTTTATTCTATTTTACTTCACCAAGCGAACAGGCATTTCTGCCTTCTCACCAGGTCCGGAGACCTAGTTCCGACAAAATGATGAAGAGCATTCAGAAGAGTAAATGAAAATGTATCGTAGAGTAATTGGAAATGTATGTATAAAATGAATCATGGCAAGCACAACAACACCACAGCAACTCCACTGACCATTGGTCTCAGAATCAGCATGCCACAAGGGCACCAGAAAAAGGGGACGCATGGGAAAAAAGAAAAAGAAAATAGACGGATGCTTTCGCATCAGACGGTGCACATGTAGACGGAGAAAGAAGAAGAAAGAAGATGAAAGAAGAAAGAAGAAACCATAAGAGAAGCAAGATAGTATATACAAGAGAGATAATAGGGACGTTTAGCAATGCGAAAATTCGAACTTTTGGTGGTGGCGATATTTCGCGAAAATCTATTTCGAAAAAGAAAACTTGTGAGGTTTAGCAATGCGAAACGACTTTTTCTCGAAGCTATTTGAATCTTATAGTACCGTACCGTATATGCAGCTCAGTCTCAAGCAGGGGGCTGTAAAATTACTACTCCCTGTAGGGAAATGCGTACCGAGAAAAGAGAAAGTTACTTTCGCAAATCACTGCAACTTCGCGTCCAAGTTTTCGAAGTTTCGACCTTTGTTTCTGTACTCATTCCCAGACTCGAATTTTCTTTCGAACTTTCGCGTTGCTAAACGTCCTTAATGATGATAAGAGAGGGAAAGAAAATGTGTCTCTACGGGTAGTCCTGAAATGAAGATTATTATGACGTACGTACGTTCCTCCTTCTATCAGAGTACCTATCTGGATCCTCAGTGAGCCACATGTCAACAGAAATTAATATATAAGTTGGCTGCACATTACGCTTCAGCACTCGGTACTTAACTGTTGTCAGTCCCTCGGAAACAAACTTTCTGTACAAGGATAGTAATTCGAAGCGGTTGGTGGATTTCGCTTTGGACTTGATATTTCCCTTCTTCATGGCCACATAGCGACCAAGTGTCCGGTTGCGGCGCACAAAATCCGTCCCAATAGCTACAAGTCTCAGCTTTAGATCATTGTCCTCACCACCCCAGCCATAGAAACGGTTGTTGAAGCCATTGGCCTGGCGATATACGTCCGACTGCAGCAGGTTCACACCACCGTCTGCAGCTTCGGGCAAGTCCCAGTCGTACACATCAATGGCGGAGCTCAGCTGCCACGCCTTCCGCACCGGCGGTTCCTTGCAGTCATACGTGTTGTTCAGTTCCTGTGGGATAAGGTCAATGTCATGTATGCTCATGCAGTCAAACTTGTCCTCCCGATCTCGTCCAGAGTTTGCTTCGATGAAGCCAATGTTCAACAACGCTCCACGGTTAAAATTGGCCTTTCCAAGCTGTTCAATTACTAACACTTTGAACTGAATATTCTGCCTGGACAGAAACTTGTGAATTAGGGGAGCAAACTGCTGCAGCTGTTCAAGGCGATTTCGAAACGGCGCCACAATGGCCTCACGGGTCTGCTTCTTTGCTGAGCTGGGTTGCTGCGTATTGTGTCCAGCGGTGGGTGTTTCTATGCTCAGTTTCTTACTGGTATTGGGCTTAGGAGTGGTTGTTGACGCCCTCACAGCTGCACTGCTTAGTTTATCACTATTGTTGCTGCTAGCTCGTTCGAAATGAGCCATATAGATATACGCTTTTACTTCCTCTCCGACCGAAAGTTTCTTGGTCGGGAGAAGACATGCTGTGAATACTATCCCAAAGCCCAGTAACGCAAATACCAGCGATTCCAGAAACAATAGGTGTGGCTTCGAATCGGCAAATCCAGCCTTCATACTGTGCGCTCGGCTACATGTGGCGAAAGAGGTGCTGCTATCACTGCTAGTACTACAGCCGCCATACGCGACAGACTACAGAATTAAGTTGAAGGATCCATATGGCGTTCTCGATCAAGTGCAATCGGAAAACCAAGATTCAGTATCAACTTGATCTAGATAAACACATGGTCATTAGTTCGTTGAGAAGGAAGTCTTCACCGATGATCATTGTACACTGCCCAGCTAGCTTTCAGGTCAGCTGAAGTGGCCCCGCGCGCGCGGCACTGACCAGACTGGAGACTGGCCTGGCAAGGAGTGCACCTGTACGGTACGCGATTTACGACTGCCGGATTATGAATTCAAACGACCCTTTCTCTCTTGCTAGGTCTGCGATCCGGTGCGTTCGAGGATCACGCTCCGTTCGCCGCCGTCAGATCAACCTTGTGCCTGTCGACCTCGTCCAGGCTGAGGCTCGCCTTGCTACGCATTACTATTATAGCAATAAAAACTGCTTTATGGCAGTTTTCTAAAAAAAGTTATTGTGTTCTAGTCCATGGACCCCGTCTAAAAAGTAAGAAATTAACGAAATGTGATAGCTGAAAATTAAAATTTCACACAAAACCTCACAATAATCACAACACTTGAAATGCTGCTTTCAACACTAAACTTGTACTGCACCAACAATTGGCAACATGCATGCATAGGAAAGAGGATCACGAGGGGAAAAGGTCTTCTGCATGTAGCTTTTCATTCTGTGTGTGATTATTGTGAGGTTTTGTGTGAAATTTTAATTTTCAGCTATCACATTTCGTTAATTTCTTACTTTTTAGACGGGGTCCATGGACTAGAACACAATAACTTTTTTTAGAAAACTGCCATAAAGCAGTTTTTATTGCTATAATTTCTTTTGTTTTTTCTCATTCTGTCACCAAACAATGGAATGCCCTATATCAATATGTAAATGATGGCCTTCACATCATATCAATACCATATTACACGTATACGCATTGATGTGCAAGCCTTTTCTTGCAGAAAATGGCACTAGCATAATGCATGTTCTTCCGCGGGGAAACATGTGAGCAGTGGTGGTGATACTTTTTTTTTAAACGGAAGTCATTCTGTGCATGTTGCTGTTGCAGAATTTCATGACTCTGTCATATAATTGTCTTCCCTTTCAGATTTCTCCCCCTGAATCAGATTTATTTGAGAAATGTAGCCATGCGCCAGGTGCGTGTCGCAGATGTTTTTGTTGATTCTGTGTTTATAATTGTTTATAGTCATGGGTTATCGTGATAAGGTCATCCAGCATCATATTGAAACTGAAATCGTAATCCTGTTGATGTCGATACAACTTTTGGAAGTAGTTCAATGACTTCAAACTGTTAGTCCACGATTGTCTAAAACAACACAGCAAAGGAGGAACAATAAACATGTATTAAAATGTAAACGAATACATTGCTGAGTCCAAAACCTCGTTCCAACGACTACACTGATCCTGAGGAGAAAAGGGGCAAGGCTATGGTTGGAGGTACTGAGAGATAAACAAGGCACTCCACAATAATAAAATCTTACACATCTTTTGGTGAGTATGAATGATATCCAGTCGATTCTCTTTAGGACGAACACCAAGGGACCGATGGTATTTATTCTGTGAGCTTAACCTGTTTTATAACCAGAGAATACAATTATATCTCCAATAGACTTACGAATAGATTTCTTCTACAGCGAAAGATTCTAAGCCACACCGACTCATTGACTCGTCTCGTATGAAACAATTGAGTCACTAGAGAGATTCTGCAAAACGAAAATGCGTACAAACTCTCGCTCTACATCATGAAGTGCGAAACTTCGCACCTTTGGACGCGAAACTTGCAGGGAACGCGAAATGAACTGTCGTAGGAAATTTCGTGAGATCGGGTCATGGCGTACGTGCACTTGGCCCGCGCAAACTACGAAAATGTGCAGAACGCAAAGTTCGTGCAAAATTCGCACACACTTTCGCAAGGACTGTCGCGAAACTTCGTTCGAATTTTCGTTTTGCAGAACCTCTCTACTGAACCTTTCTTTAGCAACATGACGGCAACTGAAACAGCAACAGAGAAAGTACGATACATGTACTTCACATTCTTACAGGTACTACAAACAGATTGCAGATCGTAATTCTTGCTTTGGCGGCACGAAACTTTATTTGGGGCAGTGCAATCTCGGCGGTACTCACAAATCAAACAGCCCAGACTTGAGTAAACAAATCCAATCATACAAGTACGAGATTTTCACGAGACGAGACTGCACCCATTGGCTTTTTTCGTATGAAACAAACAAGTTACTGAACCTCTCCACAATAGAGATTTCCCCTGATATGCTATTATTTATTTTGCAAACTCGGCCCAGTCAATTGGTACTTGAACCTTTCCCTCCAGATTGGGAACTGCCAACGATAGTATGCCACTGACCAGTGCCTTACTTGTAAAGTACCAATGTACAATGAATATGAGTATTTCGACAACACATCTAACATAAGCCTTACCGCCAAGAAGTTGAACTCGCGTTCTTCGCACACTGTAGACAAGGGCAAAAAGATAAAAATGGATCTAAATCCGAATAAAATCAGCACACGCTTCTGTAAATGAAAGGTGAACTTAAGCGAATGAATCGAAGGAAACCGGTCAACTTAGAGATCACCTGTCATCGAGTATTCCGTAAAAGGAGGCCTCGCAGCTCGGCAGCAGAAAAGCAAAATTTAGAAAAGAGATCCTGTCAACTTTTCCATTATTTATTGCATTCCGCCCCAAAATCAGCACACTTTTCCGGAATGAAAGAGTCAACACAAGCAAATGAATCAAAGGCAACTGGTCAACTCACCTGTCATTGAGTAATATTCCGCGAAAGGAGGTCTCAGCAGCGCCGAAACGAAATAAGCCAGGCCATGAGACGAAATATCCGAAACAGCTCATGCAAGAAGCAGTTCCAAAGAAGGAAGTTCCTCGAGCATGCACATCCGAACACGGATCCGCGGACTGCATGCACTGAACACAATGTCTGCCGTGCACGTGCACAGCACACGGCTACCATGCGTTGGTAGATCTAATACCGAGCACCTTACGTAGAGACTTACGTAGCCTATGTGAAATACCGAGCACCTTACGTAGAAAGTTACGTAGCATAGCGGTGTCGTTTTTTCTGCCATGTGAACACAATAATAGAAAAGCTGACAGGATCGCTTTTCTAAATTAGACTGTCTTCACAGCCATTTTAGCTCCCTCCTTATTGGACTGTTTTCACAGCCATTGTAGCTTCCTCCGTATAAGACTGTTTTCACAGCCATTTCAGCTCATTTTCTCTCGGTACTAAGCTCTTGACCTTGCGAACTAACTTTTGTCATGTGATTTTCTACATAAAATCTACGCAATCAAAAAATTCAAACGACCCACGTGCCCTTTGCTAGGTTACGACCAATCAGCAGCCTCGGAGAGCGGGCTTTGATATTCCATCCATCAAAGCCCGCTGCCATTGGCAACCTGCACGAGAAAACCATCAGAGCCCGCTGCCATTGGTAACTGTACGACAAAACCATCAAAGCCTTCATCATGCCCAATCTCAATCTTTTCAAGGTGATCTGGCTATAATTTATAAAGCGGGATTCACAGAAGCTTTTTTGCGATGCGACACGCGATGCGACAGCCGCGAGTAGAAGGTAACAGGAGGGTTTGAGGCCAAAGTTGACCCGGAAGTGACCTTGTCATGTTTTGACAGGCTGTGGTTTGACCTTGTCAATTTGTGGTTTGACCTTGATTACTTTACCGTGACATCCGTCAAATAGTGTTACAAGATCACGTGTAACACCCGTGTACTGCGATGTAGTTGTGTTACCATAACTTTTGTAGAAAGTGTGACTTTAACTTTGAAAAGTGTGACGGTAACTTTGAAAAGTGTTTGTTGTGCTGTTACAATAATTTTTTGAAACTGTATCAATGAAATGTCTTTTATTTTTATTACAAACTCTGTTTTATCATTATTTGTTAAACTGTGTGCGTGCAACAAACTCTGTTTTCCCTCTGGAGTGTCACGGCGAGCACCACCACCAAACCTGATACTCCACGAGCAAAGCAATGCATCACCGTTGTAAACATGCTCGACTCTGCATGAAGCAGCAGCAGGTTAGTGTAACAAACTCTGCTTTCCCTCTGGAGTATCACGGTGAGCACCACCACCACCACCACCACCACCACCAAACCTGATACTCCACGAGCAAAGCAATGCATCACCGTTGTAAGCCTGCTCGACTCTGCATGAAGCAACAGGTTAGCCGGCAATGACAAATTGAAGAGAGGTACCACTGCGAAGAAGACGATCACTTGCGCGCTACTCGAAGAGAGGTACATGTACTCAGGATGTAGCCCTGTGAAGAAGACGATCACCTGCGATACATCTGAAATGAATGAATGATGCGATGCATCAGCTAGCCGTCTAGCGTCGTGTTTGAGTAAAGGTGAAGTGATGTGCGCTCAAGTGCATGGATCTACGCTAACTATTCACGGTCTGCGAGTACTTGTCATGCACAAACTTGTCGGACAGGTAGAACAATGCTGAAGACAAGGTGTCAAGTCTGTCCGTGTAGTTACTTTTAAAAGTGCTTGACTGTGTTGTGCATGTACATGTAAGGGCTTAGAGGTTTTCGGTGGAAGCATGCAGAATTGAAAGAGCGTTTGCACTAGTTTGAGAACAAATGTGCACGGTGGTAAATGTCTCAAGCTGTTTGTGGACAATTGCCTCACCTCGTGATGGAGAAAATGCAAGCACATGCATACTGAGACCACGAGCGCTCACCTCGTGATGAAGAAAATGCCTCCGCCTGCACCGCCTCCGAACGAGGAAAAGTGTTGGCACAACCATCAGGTTGTGAGTGAAGGACAGTACGTGTGTACGACTTGTGGACTGGTGCTGGGTAACGTCTTAATGGCCGAAGTGAACTTCTTCGATCGTTGTGTACTCCCGAGATCGTACGCCGCTCGTGAACGTCTGAGTGCTGTGGACAAGCATCTGATTAGATTCATGGAGCGCACGGGAGTGCAGGTGCAGCTTCACGGTGTTCAAGAGCGGCTGCAGTTCATGAAGAAGGACAGCGGCTATAAAAGTCTGAACTATGCCATCGCTCTGAGCTGCATCTGTCATGAGGATAAAGCAGCCTGTTATGCACTGAGATCTTATCTATCGAAAAGCA